ACCATTCCTGATTCCAGCCAGGATGCCGTCGGCCCTCTTGGCCACCTGGGCACACTGCTGGCTCATATTCAGCCGCCTGTTGACCAACACTCCCAGGTCCTTTTCCACGGTGCAGCTTTCCAGCCACTCTTCCCCAAGCCTGTAGCGATGCATGGGGTTGCACTTGGCCTCGTTGAACCTCACCCAATTGGCCTCCGCCCATCGATCCAGCCTTCAGTGCATCTTAGAGTGAGGCTTGTGCTTACCTTTACAGTTTCAGAGGCTGAAAGGTTTCACAGAACCATTCTTTTATTCACCTATACAGTTCATCTACAGAAATGTTCTTTTCATGGGTTTATAGTAAAGGAATGATTATCACCTAATGCTAAGTAGATACGTGTATATTTATGCATGCAAACATTCTATTTTCTAAATTATGTTTTTTTTTCTTTTTGACACACAGGGAGCTAAAGAATCTCATTTAAGAGGTGTTTTCTGGATGCTAAAGGAATGACATACCTTATATAGAATCCTAAACCAGTTGCTAGTTTTAGATCCCTGGTCCTTTAATATCCATCATGTTTCAAAAACGTCTGCATGTGTGTGTACCCATATAAAGATTCAGAATAGTGTTCACGATCGAGTCCCCATCCCTAGAGGTATTTAAAAGACAGGTGGGTGAGGTGCTTAGGGACATGGTTTAGTGGTGGGATGGCAGGGTTAGGGTAACGGTTGGACTTGATGATCTTAAAGGTCTTTACCAACCTAAATGATTCTATGATTCTGTGATTCATTTCAGAAGTAGCTATTTTCCCATTGTCAGTCACTAGGGGCTTTTTAGAAGTAATATGGGATATGGTGGTTGTTATAGTATATTTTCTGCTTATGCATTGATTTGAAGTCAGTATGGCTGGTGCATGCTTTACTTTCAAGAATTACTAGAAGGCTTTTTCTTCACTTTAATTAGCTTTCAAAGAAGTGTAACTAGTATTTGGGAGTCCTTGTGACTTTCTGTTTCTATGAAAATGTTCTGTTCCTTTCATAGGTTGAAATCATGAGAGAACATGAGAAGTGGGCAAAACACTAAATTGTGCTATAAATCAAGAAACTGTCTGTAAAATTATGTACTTTTTAATTACCTTGCTTAGATATATATTGAGCAAAAAAGAAAACAAACTACACAAGTTGAAGAAATGTCGGATAAACAAACTATGACGTGTAGTATTATTGCCATCTGACATATCTCAAACACTGATTTTACTCATCCTTCATTCTTTATATCTGCATGTCTAGCGGTGCATGCATTTATATTTTATATAAAGGGCAGAATCTGTAGTCAGAGCATTTGAGTTACACTGTTAAAAATAAATTAAGGAACAGCAGGTGAAAATGATTCCTACACATGAATATTCAAACTGTACCTCAGTCACATACTGTAGAAAGAATAATAAAGAGCAATGAAACTTTGATGGGGCCAAGGTGTTCATATGATCTGAAATAAAAGTTTTATTGGCATGAGGTTGAGATAACTCAGAAAACTTACTCAAGGAGTGGCATGATCTGCTCGTATGCCCCATTGCCAAAACATTCAAGAGTTTAAAAAATTACGGGGGCTACTGCACTAGGATGTTGGAAGTCAGGCTCTTAATCTTGATTCTTACAGTCTTGTGCTTTACTCTCTGAGCAGAATGGGTTTAGGGTTGGCAGGAGGGTGTAGGGGCTACATAGCTAAATTGAAAGCTGAAAGACTTGAGTTCATTCCTACTCTGGCAGCCATTTCCTATGCATTTGCATCCCTTGAGGCAAGACTCACCAGGGTATTTAGGCACTTCAAGAAGACCATCAACTTTTTTTTTTTTTTTTTTGAGTAAGAATGAAGAAAGTATGACTTTCACACTACTTCACTGATGGGAATCATGCTGCCATTGATTCAGTGAGGTTTCACAGGAATCAGGAGCATGACCATTGTTCAGGACCCTATGACAGGGGATTTTCAGGGAAAAATCAGGAGCCAGAATACATTTGCAGAGCTGACTTTAATTTCCCTATCACTTTTACATTGTAAAGACAAGAACGTTCAGAACTATTGAATACTTGGATACTCTGGCAATATGGAAGAAAGCGTAATAATGGATGACTGACTTTTAATGTCTTTTTTTTTTTTTCTTTGCTTGCTTTGCAGATCCTGTCCATGGACCACAAAACGTAGAAGTTGTTGATATTCGCTCCCGTCAGCTGACGTTGCAGTGGGAGCCCTTCGGTTATGCGGTGACCCGCTGCCACAGCTACAATCTCACAGTCCAGTACCAGTATGTGTTTAACCAGCAAAAATTTGAGGCAGAGGAACTCATCCAAACTTCCTCCCACTACACCTTGCGAGGTCTTCGGCCCTTCATGACCATCAGGCTGAGGTTAGCCCTCTCTAACCCAGAGGGCAAAATGGAAAGTGAGGAATTGGTTGTGCAGACTGAGGAAGATGGTAAGTAATCTTGGGTTTGCTTGCCTGCCTGTTTTTTGGGGGCGAAGACTAATATTTTCAAGTTGTAAATAACAAGATAACCCTCTGTCCATGAGACTTATAAATGGCTTCTCTGGACAGTGTATGTGTTATGCAAGTAAAATTTGTAGGTATAAATAATTTACATTTCACAGCCATGTTCTTGAAAGGGCAGGGCTCCCTGAAGTGCTTGGAAATGGCAAATGCCAGTCTGAGCAGTTGCCAAACAGCGGTAGGTTTGATTCTATAGAAGTCGTGTTCTGAACTACCCACGACCTACAGAGCAGCTTCCTTTATCATATGGGCAAATGTAATCCTGGCATTTGTTGGTTTTTCTTGTGCCTTCACATCACTGTCCCAAAAAGAAGTAGAATGTCTTTCTTTCCAGAGTGTATCTTATTCTTAATGCTGGTCTTCTGGACATAGCATTATATATGCATCTCAGAAGCTAAATTCATTTGGTGCTAACTCTTCCATTCTTGATACAAAAAGAACCATTTTCCAGAAATACTGATGGAAAGCTTTAAAGTGTTATTATCACATCCGAGCTATTTCAGACCAAGGACTCTCATAGATGACAAGCCTACGTTCTGACTAATGTGTTAAAAAAGAGGGGTTCTTCCTCTGCCAGAGCTGTAAGGAGATGTTGTCCCTGAGTTTCTCTTACCTGAAAGTGGCTCTTGCAGTCCAGTATATCATACGGGGGGACGTAAGGGGGACGGCAGGTCTTTCAGAAAAATGAACAGGGGTTTTATCAGTCAGGCTTGGGAGTGCATTTAGTTAGTTATCTTTCACAGCATTAAAATTTTGCTTGAGTAGGTGGATTTTTAAGATGGCCTTGTAACGATAATGAAATATAAATCTTACATTGTTACTTTACCAAGGAAATCAATCTTTCATATTGGTAAAGGTGTGCATTGCAGTAGCATCTTTATGCTTCAAGGTGCAATCTGGCTGTTTAGGTGGATAGAGCTTTGCTGTTGTGTGGGCAGAGAAGGACAAATTAAATGCTCTGCTGCTGCTATGCTGTACTGGAATAAGGACGTACTGAAATTAGCTTCATATTTTCGTGAATTCTGGTTTTATTTGTCACTTAGTAGTCAGATTAGGGTATTCTTATTTGAACCAAAGGTTGAGAATAGGCCTTTCATTGTTGATAGTACCTTGGTAATGATAGTGCCTTGAGGGTTTTTAAAATTATATTATTCTTATTTTTTTTATTTTCAGGTCTGAACTTCCTGTCTAATGGCCTCTTGGTGTCTTCTGACATGTGTGCAGCTGGAGGTGGTGGTAGTAGCTTCTAACACAGTTTTCTGTTTTTTTCTTTCACCCTGTAGTTCCTGGACCTGTTCCCTTGGAATCCATCCAGGGAGGACCTTTTGAAGAGAAGATCTATGTTCAGTGGAAGCCTCCAAATGAGACAAATGGCATCATTACACTCTATGAGGTGAGAACAGATTGTTGTCAAGGCATACATGCTACAGGGCCCTTTTCATATGTGTTTAAGCCAATCCTGAGCTCTGAGAGATTTCAGCAAGTGCTAGAAGAAGTCTGATTAAAATAGATAAGACTCTTCGAGATAGTCTGCTGCTGTCACTGAAAAAGTTTTCCAGTTCAGAAAAGAGAAAAGATTTCTTTACCAATATTTGCGGCAAAATGAGAGCCATATATTCCCCTGTGTCTGGGGTATTCAGTTCCTGCTATTTTTCCTTCTGTGCTATCTACAAGGTCTGTTTTCTTTCTTTATTTTTCCTACTTTTTTTTTTTTTTTTTGAGATGAACTTCTGTTAGGTTTTATACCTAAATACTGCAACTAATTCCTCTCTGCCTTTCCAACAGTCATAACACTTCCTGGCAATCTCACCAGAATATAGCCGTTAAGTCTTATCTTATAGTGTTCTTATTGAATCTTTCAATGGTACTTCTGTCTAGCCTAACCACTTTCCCTGCTGTCAAACAAAATGTGCAGCAAGTTATAGGATGATCAATGACCATGCTATACTGGATGACAAAAAAAAACCCCAAAAAATTATGATTCTAGAGTGTATCAGAGGAGGTGTTTCTTGTTAAGGTAAGGAAGCATTAACTGTTGCCATGTGCTTCTGGTGAGACTATCCATAATGTCATGTACACCTAAATATGCAGAAAACGAATATAAAAGGAGCACTGCTTTAGAGGATCATGTGAAATGAGAGACAGTTCTACAAGAAAGGGTAAAGGCACTTTTACTGAAGAGCGCAAAGCCGTGCACCAATGCTGACTGAGTGTGTTTCAGTTTATAGGTTCAGCATTTACCACAGTAAGATTAGAAAAAGCAAAAAAAAATTTTGCTTTTATGGTGATGTAAAAATCCTCACCATGAGCTTGTGCAGCATGGTCTGATACAGAGGGGCTAGAACTACTTTTTTGCTTTCTCTTTTATGCTGGTTGAACGTACAAACTTATTTTGGAAAAGGCGTGGGTGCAAGAAGCAACTCTTCCACCACCAATGAGGTTCTGCTCCTTTCCTCTTCCCATGTAGCTTCTCAGTTTGGAACAGCATGTCTTACATGTCGCTCCTAAATCTCCTTGCTAACACTGGCTGTCTCTAATACAGTGATGATCAAATGGAAAAAATCAAGCAGTTTTAATGTCAATGAGGTCTTACACTACAGCATGAGCAAGAGATGGCAACTTTCTCCTGAGCTTAAATGTAACTGCACTTTTAGGTCATCTTTCCAGCTGGCTCACAAAGGGTAGATTAAATTTGATACAGCAAGACTAAATACATGAATAGAAGATCCTTTTGCTAATTTTGTGTCATTTCAGCCAGGTGATAATCCTTGACTAAGTAAGGAATAATTTTTTGTTGGTGACTGTTGAGGCACTTGCGGAAATCTGTGCAGGTTTCATAACACCTGTCTCTACTAGAATAGAACTAACCCTTCCAATTTCATGTTTTTTGAAGGTGTATTACAGGCTATCCTGTGTCTGTGTAAGGAATTATGCAATAAAGCTGTCTGTATTTTTAAGGAACTTATCTGAATAGAATCAGTTGCAAATTCATTATTTTTCTGGCAACACAGGTGACCTGTAATGGAACACATTTAAAATAATCCAAGTCAAATGATGCAAAAATAACTCCTTTTAATTTTTAAAGAGGCAGTTTTCTACTAAAATATTGCCTTGGGCTCAGCTCATCTAAAGGAGTTCAGCAATCTGAGTAGCTTTTCTGGCTGAGCAGCTGCATAGAGATACTTTAATGCCTCCAGCGTAGTGATGCATCATGACAGTGCCTTTGCCCCTCGAGTCATATCATTGCTCAAGTCTCAGCAGAGGCACAAACAAATTTTCCTTTTCTGATTATGACTCTATGCATATTTGGCAGCTAAAGCCAAAGAGAAGTCAAGGTGGATTCAAATTCTTCCTCCTTTTCCTCCTCTTCCTAATCCCCAAAAGGATGAAAATCCAAGTGTTAAAAACCAGGAGAACCGGAGCACCTTGCCTGAAGGTTGTCATGAATGAAAATGTTTCCTTTCCCTCTCCCTTCTTACATGTGAAAACTCATACAGAGCATTCTCATTCACCGTGACACCCTGAGACAAGTTCATCAGCTGGAGATGAAAATACAAACAAGCAGTTACACATAACCTGGAGAGATGGCTGGAGCATTCCCAGGGTAGTCGTCAGGCTGTTGAAGTCTGTATCACAAGCAAATATGAGTGCCTGGTCCAAGTAAAAGGAGATCCTGGTTTTGAAATTGCTCAGGTCTTTGCACAGAAACATCTCATCCTGCTACCTGCAACTGAAGTTTAATCTTCCTAAAAATACTGAGAAACATCCAGTATTGTCCAGGTAGTTGCATCTTTTGTATTGCTTGCTTAATCCCTAGCCTGCTACAGATACTTAAACCTGCACCTTTATCTCTACTGGTATTATTTTAAGATTTCATGCCATGTGTCTAGGACCAAAGTAATTCCTCGGTAGTAATGACCTCTGAAGTGTTGTTTTAGACAGAGTTCAGCCATTTTTCAGTATCATTGTGGCTTTACACTGCTTTAACAGAGTTCAGCTGACCTATTGGTTAAAGAGGAAGAAAAAGCTAGTGGTTAGTCTCTGATAGGTTTTCAAGTTCTTTCAGATACCTGTGGCCTACAGTACCGATCCAGGTAGAAGCAGAAGGCTTTAATTACAATAGAACAAAAAAGGTCAAACTATGAACTTGTGCAGCACTACTCTAATGAGGTCTCTGCAGGGAGCACAGTTCCTGAAGCCCAGCACCAGCACTGCTGCTGTGTCACCAGGAGGAGCCGGGATGCTCAACAATATGCTAGCAAATTTGCAGCTATCTAGAAACACTGCTATTGTGTCGCTGTCATTAGGGAGAAACAAACCCAAGAACCTACCAACATTTATTAAAGAAAAATTCCCTGCAAAGTATAGATCAAGAAAAATCACTTTGTGGGGTTTGAGCTAGTGGTGTTAAGTTCTGTATTATACCTGGCAGTAACTGGCTAGATTCACACATAGGTACCGTGCAAGTGATGGTCTCTCAAACTCCTTTGGGTGCAAACCCTTCTAATAAAAAATTCCTCCTCCTCCTAAGTAATAGTTCCCTCCTTACATCACCTTCAAGATCTAATTAATTGTATCTGGATACTGTAAAAAATTTTGTTTGTAAGCTTCTAAAATGCTTCCAAATAAACACACTGTCTATTCTACTTACATGGCACTTGCTTTTCCTTGGGACAGATTTTCTTCTCAGATCCCTAATCACTCCTGCAGTTCCCTGCCAGGCAGACTTCCATATCGCACAAGTTGCTGTTGCAGTTTGCATGCGCACTGCTTACATGCCAACTGGCCTGAAATTCAGCAGCGCAACCTTCAGGAAGTCATTTGGCAGCCAGAATCACTCATTTTGTAATGACTGAATACTTCTAAAGAGCCTAAACAAAATGGAAGGACCTTAATGAACCTTTTTGACTTATGCAAGTCTCTTCTGATTGATATTTACCCTTCAAAATGCTATTGTAGTCTTTTAATAAAAGCAGCAATAGCCTTGCATTTAAAACTGGTTTTAAAACCCCCTGTGTTCAGTTGGAGAATTAATTGTTTCACCGGGTACAGCCACAGCTGGATTCTTAAACAAAGGAACCTTCTAGATCCCCAAATCAGTATGTAATTGCAGTCTGTTTCTAGGGAGCAGAAACCTCTGGTTCAAGGGAACTTGGAAAGCTCCAGGAATTGCAAGTCAGTTAATCAGTATGCCGAAAAGATTAGGGTATGAGCCGTGTAGAAAGCAAGTGATGGTACAGTTCATTCTGGGGGTGTTAGGGGAGCACAGCAAAGCAGTTAATAATACCAGCGTATGCTGAGTTAGTAGGTGTCTGTTGATCTGTCCAGTCAAGTAAGCCATTAGGGAGATGCGTAGGCTGCTGTTACAAGTAAGCTGTGCAATGGAGATAAAGCTTAAGAGCTCTAGCTATAGTCGAGTCCCCAGGTAGCTTCAAGGTGTGTAGGTACTTACATGAGACAAGTAGATCAATCTGTGTTCGGAAACACAGCTAAACAGCAATAATGGATTTTGCTGGTACATTGGTTTGGGTAGAATGCTCTACAGAGATGTTTTTGCATGTGACGTTCATGAAAGAGGCATTATTACAGCTGTCTCTTCTAGCGATCTGTGAGTGGCAGAATCTAATAATATTGTAATACGTCCTGTCCCCCCCTTCAGTCTCCTGGCAGACTGAAAGCACCACAACTTGATTTCTTTTTTTTTTTTTCACCAGTCCAGAACAGCTGCTATGCTTTAAAATCCCTAATAATCAAGTGCTGCTTATTATGCTTATACCGTGTGGGAGTTCAGCTTCAAGGCCTTTGTGTACAAAGACACGCCACAAAGATTGTGGTTTTTAAATTTTTTTTTTTATCCTAAGTATGTGTAAAGTCAAACCACTATCAAACAGCAGAAAGACCTATGCTCTCATTGGACTGCAGGAACAAGCAATCTAATTTAGGGTCATGGACCAACTTTGGCACTTAAATTCTGCTGCTTTTAGATGACATGAGGTTGTCTCAAGTGTTTGTTCCATAATCCAAATTGAAGCACTTCATATACAAGTGTAGACCCAGATATTTTGGGCAAACTTGCATTTAGTCTTGAAAATGTAAAGAAACAAAACTTATTTATATCTGCATTTCATCATTCATTGGGGCAGCTGGAAGCTTTTGGGTGCACTCAGTAAGTGATGTCAGCTTTCACCTTTGTAAATATGTTTTTTGTGTGTAATCTATTTCTCAGAATTGTCAGTATTTAGAATATTTTGTCCTTAAAGAGGAAGAAGAAAAAAAACACCACTTAAAAACACCTGTCTAAAATATTACAATCCTAGAAGCATTTAAAAGGTGGCTACGGTATGTTCAGCTCCTTGGCTGGAAAAAATTACTCTCAGACTTCTGAAGTCTTTT